GCCCTCCTAAAATCTAGGGCCACCACCTGACTGCTTGCCTTTGCCACCTTGCGCTGAATGGTGAATTCTAGCAGGCAGTGGTCACTGTCGCCCAGGGAGTCAAGCACCCGCAGCCCCCTCACCAGGTCATCGCCCATGGCCATATCGCCCAGCCTCCAGCCTCCCCACTCCAGGAACAACGGGCTGGGGCACCTTTCCCCACCAGCACAGAGCTTGCCTGGGATGGTGGCCACTGCTGGACCTCAGGTCCCCCACCCGCCCAACCTCTGGGGAGCAAAGTAGAGCATGGCCAGCCCCAGAGAGCCTCCAGACCTGTTCAGGCTCCAGCAAGCCCTGAGCTCCAGCCCTGAGGCTCCAGCAGTGCTCTGTCTCACACACCTGATCTACATGCAGTGCAACAAGAGCTGGTGGCAGCTTCTGCATGGTTGGGGGCATCCTGCTGCTAGGGAAGTCACTGCCCCAGAGCAGGGTGGCTGTGGGTGGATCTGGGCTATGTGCATGGGACTCTGCTGCTGCTCATGTAGACTCAGGAGCTGGCTGCAGATGGACTCTGTTCCCAGCTGCAGAGTGAAGCCAACTTGGTGGGGAGCTGAATGCACCAGGTGTCACAGCCCCCGGCCCTGTGCCCACTGCTGCTGCCTCTACTGTTGCTGCCGGCTTTCCAGAACCACTGCCTGGGACTCCCCTAGCCCCAAAGCCTGGGGGTGTCTATCCATTTGCCCCATGTACTGCTTGGCTGTCCCTGCTGGGCCCAGGGACACCAAGGAGGGGTAGGGGAGCAGGGTGGATGTGAGGCAGAGCTGTGGGGAGGGATGGGTAGGGATAGGCAGGGGAGCACCTAAGCCCCCCTCAGGCTGAAGTTGCCTGGGTACTGGGAATAGTCTGAAGGATGCTTTTGGGCAGGAGATGTGCCTGGACATGTGTGACAGAGAGCCCAGAGCACGTGCGTGCTGGGAGCCAGGCCGGCAGCAACCTGTCTATGCAGCCCCCTGCCAAGTCCATCAGCTTTGTTCTCGAGTGACCCCACTGCCTCCCTCCCCTCCCCACAGTCTAGAACGCTGCTGCTGTGGGCCAGCGAGGGACATAGAGAAGTAGGGCTGGAAGGGACCTCCCTGCTCACCACTCCTCTAATGTCAAATCGCAACTGTACAGGTGGAGGACAATCAGAGAAGGTTTCTAGCCTGCTAGGTGTGACTGCTCCAAACTCCAAGCTAGCACTAACACAGATCAACATTTGTGTGGCTCAAAGTACATGTAACAAGGCCCTAAATAAAATACCAACTTCCACTGCAAATACTCGAGCCTGCATTCTGTAACCCTCTCAACAAGGAAAGCTCAGCTCAAACACAAAACAGGCACATGAGTGCTGCCCAAGTGAATTCATACTGATATTCAGCCCTAGTAATTAGAGCCCAGTCATCTTTCCAGCCCAGTTGTTCTGCACGTCACAGGGATGTCTCCCTCTATTGTGGGCACCTCTAGTATTCCTAGGTTTCCAATGCCATCCTTGCAGTCCACTTCATCTATTTTATAAGTAGCTCTGATTTTCCTGAGCAGTGGTAACCTACACAAGGGCTCTGCAGCTCTTTTGGTTCAGCTCAAAGCAGTCTCTGGCAAACAGATCTCCTTTCTTGTCCAGTGCTGAACATAATGTGTTCAGCTTCATGGCATGCATCAGGTCTCAAGTCCAGACATGCATTAGTGGAGGCAAGGGAAAACTTCTGGAGTAATGCAAGGAAGGAATCCTAGAAAACTTTGGGCTCTGTGTCTCCTCCTGAGCATCCCCACAGCACCCACAGCTCAAGATAAAGTGTGACAGAGGTCAGGGAAAATAGCAATCTGTTCCACCTTGCATGCAAAAGCCTCTTCTGTATAACCTTTCTGAGCAGCTCTGCTGAGGGTTAGTTGCATGTCAGGTCTGCTTTGCTCCAGACCCTCCTGCCAGCAACATTTCCAGTTTCTTACGTCTTTTGCCCGTTTTATCTGCAGTGCAACAAGGCATTCCAAAAAGCCTAACAAGTACTGTCAGGGCTTTTGCACCCTTTGACTGCCTGGAAAGAGAGTAGACAGGAAGCCTTGTTGATTTTTTCCTCACCATCAGACAATGTTTACTACCACAGAAAGAGGAACTGGTTCAAAACAGGATGCTTTCACAAGGGACCAAGGCTCTCTTGAAGAAATCTAGTATGAACTATAGCTGCATTTCTGTCACTATACTGAGACTCACCACCCTATCCAGAATAAAAGGACTGATCACCTCTGGCCAGCCAGAAGGCTCCAGACACCAATGCATTTGGCCACTGTTGTCCCCCTGTGGCAACTTATGGTGTTATGCCTTGCAGCTGTGTCAGTTTTACTACGAGGTTAGATAATGGATCTGTGTAGGATGTGTCAGATAAGAGTGATCCTGTCTCTTGGGGCATGGGGGCTGGACTAGATGACCTCTAGAGGTGCCTTCCAGCCCTGCTTTTCTACAATTCTGTGATTCTTAATGAACCTTCTAGTGCAACTGACCTCTGGAGTAAGTGAAGCTCTTGTCTGGTGGAACAGTTCAGGCTGCTAAGAAAATCAGGGGAGGCTGGAAGGGAGGAGGTTCCCCTGCAGTGAGGCAATATTGGCTACAGCTGGGAGAAGGGAATCCAGGAGAAGCTCCCCCGTGATGAGCTATGTCTGGCTCCTAATGTCCGGAGAATAGGCTGGAATGAGGGAGACTCCCACAGAATAAAGATGCTGCAGCTGCCAGTGGTTAGCCTGGAATGAGAGCAACTCCTTGCACGATGAGGCAATGCTGGCTGGGAACAGACAGAGGGAAGATGCCTTGTGGAATGTGTGAGATCCCACCAAGACAATGGGGCACTTCCCTGCCAATGGCATGCAATATAAAGGCAGTGTGCAGGAGCTCCTTTTAAAACATTAGTGCAGCACATGCTGCCAAGCTGCCTGGAGCTGGGCTCCTGCTAAACAGGCCCCACCCTCGAGCGATTACTGAAACATGTCTTCCCTTGTCCGGCTCCTCCCTCCACCCTGAGCATGCATCTGCTTGGCACAGTACCTGCTGTGAAGATCTGAGCAGCCACTGCCAGGAAAGCGTCAGTCACCACAGTCTCTGAGTGCAGCGAGATGTTCAGCTGACGGGCGATATTGCGGTAAAGGTTTGGTCGGATGTGTTCCAGCTCATCCCCTAGAAAGGGATCAGAAGTCAAGACAGAGAGAGCACTGTTTTTCTTGTCCCCTCAAGGGCCACCAAAAGAGCCCTTTGAAAAGGGACTATAAGTTCTAGTCTATACCCCAACCTTGTTCTGGCAGCAGACAGCAGCTGTCACCCCTAGCCCCCCACCCCCTCCCCTCAAAGCACGTGTATATTCTCAGTTTGGCAGCTGGAGAACAAAGTGTACCCTGGGAAGATGCTACCTGCAGAAGGGACCACAGCAACCAGCAGAAGGTGAAGAAGCATCGACACATGCTTTCTGCCAGCTGCTGGCTGGTGACAGAAGCTATACCCCGCTCAGCAAAGAGGGGTAACTGCTGGCAGAAGAGAGGGCTCTGCAGCCACAGAGGTGCTTTGGTAGTGCACATATTCAAGAGTTTTGCTGTCGGAACAGGAGTTATGCCAGCAAAACCTTGCAGCACCGATGAGGCTGAAGGCTTGGCTAACCCAGCCACAGTCCTCGGGGAACAGCTATTTTTGTCCCTCATTCTACAAGCCAGAGAAGAATGGAAGCACCAGGAGAGAAGCAAGCCCTGCCCTAATGCTTGAGGTCAATGCAGAGTACAAAGGAAGGCTGTATGAGTACAGACTCATGTAACTGCCACATTTCTGGTGCCACTTGGCCACTGCAAGTGTTAGGACAGCTCCTATGTGCAGCTGGGAATGCCTCAGCTATACCTTCTCCTGCCCTTAATAGTCCCAACCCACCTCAGACACTGCATGTTCCCCCACAGAGCACCGGGTGCAATGTCAGCCAAAGCAGGAATGCACTTAGTGGAGAGGCCCCCTGTGCTAGTGGCTTTCATCAGGCTTAAATCTGTGTCAGCTCTTTTCCAGAGGGGCCACTGAGCAATGGTGAACTGGGCTCTGGAGTGGCATTTCCCATGACCACAGAGGGGGGCTATGTCAGGGCTTGGACTTGATCTCTGGAGGCACCAAACCCTCTGCTTACACCACTAACCCCCAGCTACACTCCTTAGCCTAGCTAACCTGACCAAGGACTGCACTTACATGAGTAAGTGGAGCCCTTGGACCAACCAGTTAGCCAGGCTGCGAAGACATTCTGGGAGATGCTCAGAGAAATAAGATCCTGATATCCATAAAACAAAGTAAGATGCTTCCTTTTAGCTTAGCTCACACAGCCCACACCCTTTTTCAGCACCCCATGCAGCTTCTACCAAACAAAAATGCCTTAGCAGGAAACGGACTCAATGGCGTTCAATTATGATGAAAGCCAAGAATCTGCCTGGAGCTAAGAAACATTAAGTAACCAAGTAAAGAGACTGTCATATTCAGCTATCTTATGGTAATATGGGCACAGAGCAAGGTCTGGAGCACTCTGCATTCTTCAGACAGCTACATGGTTTCCTCATCTGCCTACCCAGCTCTTAAGCAAGGAGTCTTCTGAATGTGCTGAAACATAAGCTTGAGGCTCCAGGCAGGTCTCTCACCCAGCTTGGTGGAGTTCTCAGGCACGTGTCAGCACAATGACCAAGGTGAAGACAATGCCAGGATAAAAGTTCCTCTTACTAGGCTAAAGCAGCAGGCTTAGATACTGGCATCACGGCTCTACCTTCAGTATGAGAAACTGTGTTGTGGGACTCTTCCTCAACATAAATTGTCTCCACCATGTTACCAACCTGGTTTCAGGCTTGGGAGCTGCATGGGAGTTACTGTACTCAGCTTCCCACGTTGCTCAAACATCTTTTGTAGTGGGTGTGGCGGGAAGAGCAGCTAGAACACATTCAAGTCCTGTCTACACTGCAGGGCAGAACTGCAATACAAATGTGCCTTGGGGAAAGAATACCAGGAACAGATCCTCCTCATAACTGGCTTTATGGTTACAATGGGACCTGAGAAGCAGGATTTCACCCAGTCAAACTAAGGGCTCATGTCATGAAAGGGTTATTAGCTACTAAATCTTAACCTATGCCTACAGCCACTGACAGTTTTAAGATCCTGAAGCAGGCAAACCCCAGCTTCTCAGAATTCAACAAATAAAGCATCCCGACCCCTCAAAGGATTTAATTGTTCCATGCAATCTGATTAAAAGAGGAAACCTTGAAAATGCATGGCTGAAACTGATAAGAGGGAACTGGTACATACAATATTGATAGCTGTTCTCCTATCACAAAGAATACACAAGCTTATCCACACACGCAAGTAACGGCTTCCCCCTGGGCAAACTGAAAGTCATGGATGGGGTGGTGGGGGAGGGGGAGAGATAAGCATTTGGCACAGCACTGTTATTATTACACATTCATTTTATTACAGCAGGGCCTTACAAGTCCTAACTGAGATCAGGGCCCACTGCGCTAGGGGTAGTACCCACGTCATAAGGCATTCTCTACCATGAAGACCTAAGCAGAGAAGACAGGCAAAGGAAATGGGGGCATGGAGAGATGAAGTACCTCAGTCCAGTAGGCCAGTGGTACAATTGGAGACAGAATCCAGGCCTTCTTCCACCCAATGCAATTCCCTACCTGTTAGGCAACCTGCCTCTCCATCAGGGCAGTATTCTGTGGCAGGATTCTCTCCCCATGCTCAACTGCAATTACTGACTTTGCAAGCTTGAGCGGTGAGATTAGTTTTGGTGTTTCTCCTCCTTCCCTTACCAGAAATTGTGAAAGAACCAGTACAGCAGCTTTGCAAGTTTCTTTACGGAGCCCCAGCTGAAAGCTGGAAAGGCCACTTCCCAGGCTGCAGCACAGGAGGCAGGCAATTATTTTGGGCGGAGGGCCGCTTACTGAGTTTTGGCAAGCAACTGAGGGCTGCATGACAGGCAGCCAGGGGCCGATAAATATTAATTTTCTAAAAATTTTAGGGGCCCCGCGGGCCAGATAGAATGGCCTGGCAGGCCACATCCAGCTCGCAGGCCACATTTTGCCCACTTCTGCTGTAGCTACATTCAGAGACCTCCTCAATGAGATTTCAATTTTAAAGTAGTGCAAGGCAGCCTGGATACTCTAGGACAGGAAACAATCATACCAACTGCAAGGAGTGAGCCGGACTCACCCTGTTTCAGCTAATGCACGGTCACTTTTGTCTTTCTACTCTATCCCATCAAAAGTAAAAGTGCAATAATTTATGACCTGGTTCATTAAGGCAGTGACTCTCAACTGATGTGCTGTGAGACCCTCCTCAGAGGTGCTACAGACCCCTGTTTGAGGAGGTAAGCTCTTCCTCCTGCCTGGTCTGGGGTCCCACAGACAAGGGGCACCCATGGCTTTCCACTTCCACCCTCCAGCAACCCCTGCACTGGTTGCTTTGAGCAGCATGGTCTGCCGCAGGTGGATTCAGATCTACTCCCAGCTCTTTGCAGGCTCCCCAGGCTGGTGGGAGGGGCTGTGCAGGCAGGTGACACTGGATCCTGATGTATGAATTCTCACAGGAACAGCCATGGCAGCAGGAGCTGCACTTGCCCCCTCAGGTACAGACTGGAGGCAGAGAGGGGTCACCCTCCTCCCTCCAAACCTCATGTGTTCCTTTGCCCCCTCTCCCACCCTTCCAACCCCCTCAACACATGTGCATGTGGCCTGTCACCTTCTCCTGGGCTCTGTCCATTTTGGTCCCAAGGCTGGAGTTCAGTGGGGATTGCCCTGGGAAAAATAAGGCCAGAAACTGGCCCACTAGTTTCTGTTCCCCAGTGGTGACCTGGGCCCATGTGTAGGGAATCCAGGTGCCTCACTGGGAACTGGCATGTACAGGGCCAGGCAGAGCCAGGGAAAGCAGCCTGAAGGGGTGACACTTACATTACATTTCATATTATAAGGGAATATAATATAAGCATCGATTAACAGCACATTAATAGAGAATATGTTTATATTATAATGTTAATATCTAATCTGCACATCACAGAGCAATACTCTCACAAAAGGACTCTCAGATTGCCAGAGGAATACACTTCCAGCTTCTATCTCCCTTGTGTAAAATGAAGTTTATTTTCTACCTAGAAGAACTTTTACAATCTTTCAATTCTCCTCAGCCTAATGAAGGGTGTGTGCACCCCAAAGCTTACAAATAAATAATTCTTTTGGCCACTCTTTAGTTGGTCTAATAAAAGAGCTCTCAACCAAGAGCTTTGTGTATCTCTATAATGTTCATATGACATTTTTATTAGTTTTTTTTACTGGAGTGCTGCTAAATTCTGCCAATTTGTGGTGGCCTGCCTTAAGTCTAAAACAGGTTGAGAACCACTGCTTTAAGGAGTAAGTCACTGAGGCTTGGCTTCAATTACTGCAGCATAAGAGCAGACAGACAGAACAGTTTCAACAGGTCGGCTAACATGCACTCATGATCAGTAAGATCCTCCCCTCCAGTTCGAAGCAGCATGGTTCTTTGTTTCTTCACATCCTTAATCCAATTTAAACCTTTATACTGATTAAGCCTAATTTGGTAAGGAAACATTTAAAATAAAATATAAAGCAGCTGTAAATCAGATTAAGAGTAGGCACACTGGCTTGCACTGATTTAAGTTAATTTCAGTTTAAGCCAATTTGTAATTAAATATGTAACATGTAAATGACTTACTCATGTCTAGGATTTGCATATTTATTCTCCACCACCCTTTGGTAGGGCTGTGCAAAACAGCACCGTTCTGCTTCGATGCTGTTTCAACGTTTCGCCCGTAAACTATTCCACAGCCAGCACTGAGAAATTCAGCGCTGCCTCTGGCCCCAGCTGGCAGTACCAGCCTCCTGTGATCTGGGAGGCAGATCGGGGACACAGCCCCTGCAGCCCTCCCGGGAGTGTGGGCGAACCCCCGATCTTCCTGCCAGATGACAGGAGGCTGGTACTGCCAGATGAGACTGGCGCTGCAGCCAAGTAAGCCTGGCTTTGAAACTTGAAATGTTTCAAAACTTTTGAAACATTTCAAGTACCCTTGTTTCATTTCGAAGCTGTTTTGAAGGCTTTTGTTTCATTTTGATTTAATTGTTTCAAGCTCGAAACGCATCAAAATAGCTTTGAAACAAAACACCGGGTGAAATTTTGCATAGCCGTACCATTTGGTGGCCAGGTTGATTCTGATGGTGTTTACTAATGCCTTGTACGATGTGGTTTTCTGATGTAGCTTAGAAGGTCAGCTCACTGCCCTTTCTGCAAGTCTTTTCACAGCACCTGATGAAGAAGAGCTCCAGCTCACAAAAGCTTATCCTATATATATTTCTAATTTGGTTAGTCTATGAAGTGCAAATCTACCCTGCCTTCTGCTTTACAGCACGCTAACACAGCTTACTATGTTTCACTCCCCCTCAGAAACTAACTGCTACCATATACCAAGAGAGGTGGTTAGCTGCATCAGTCTGAAGTCAGACAGAAGTCAAGGCAGGGTGGCACCCTATAGACTAATTCAGAGAGGCATAAGCTTTTATAACCAACAGCTTACTTTGTCAGATGCTACCTAAGCTGTTGTTTATGAAAGTTTATGCCTCACTGAATTAGTTAGTCTATAAGGTACCACTCTGCTCTGCCTCCTGCTACCATATAGTTTGTGGCTTCTGATAGCTGTTTTTTTGCACCTTTCTTCTGAGAGTCCCAAAGTGCTTTAGAATATTAGCTATATGTGCCTGAAAGTCCTAGGTAAACTGAGGCAGAAAGGACATATGATTGTGATGCACAGTCACTAGTGAAGCTGAGCATGAGACAAGTCTTGCCTTAATTTCCTCTGCTCTAGTTACTGAACAGGGATGGGTTTGCACTGGTCACCAAGAAAAGAAAGCCTATGTACTATCACTAATTGCAGAGCCATCCACTCCCCCCTCAGCACAACATTGCCCAGCTTAGTGAGGCACAGAAATTGTTCCACATAGAGTAATGTTTCTTTAAAATAGGCTTTTGAAATGAAACACTGCTCCCTGCTACCACAGTCAATGCATGGGCCAGCTGGCCTGAAGTACAAGATACAGTTACATGTTGTACTGCTGGAGATTTGCATTTAGGAGGATTGGCTTGGGAATGACTTGCCTGGACAGGAACACTTGCTAGTGGGATGATGTGGGGACATTGCCTACCCATTTGGGAGCCAAAACTGACTATGTCCCTTTAATTTAGATTTGGCTCAGTTGCGTGTATATGCACATGGGCGTAACAGATTGGAATCTGACCTTTGTTTTTTTCCTAACAAGTTTTCTGAATACAGGAGCTTATTTTAACAGAACTGCAAGGACCACACTAGCATTAGAGCCTACACCATTAAAATTACAGAGCAACAGGAATCCCAAACATCAGAACATTTCCCAGGATCTGTCTGGATCCCTGAGAAGTACCAGCTCACACCCAGGCACCCTCTCCCTGGCAGTGCAACCAAAAGCTAAGCCAGGAGCCCCTCTAAGGGGACTGTAAGGTGTGGAGAAGGAACTGGGACTGCGTATCTGGTCACCCCATTCTTTGCAATTCAAGGAGCTTGGAGGAGGAACACATAACTGCTGCTTCCTGCTTTCTTCTCTAATACAGATGCCAGCCCCCATATAACACCCTCACAGAGCTAAGAAGAGCAAGTGCTGATCCTTAGCCTTCACATGGAGGGATCCTCTGCACCTAAATCTACAGATACAAGTGAGCTCTGATATATCAAATGGGTTCAGGTACCTAAAGATACTCTTCTTTTGCAAAGCAACAGACTTCTCATTCCCCTGCTCATGCCAGGCAAGATGAAAAGCCTGGAGAAACAGAACTGAACCATTCCCTATGTGGACTCTAGTCTGGAATAATTTGGAAGGGCACTAATTTTTCTGATGTAGAGCATGAAGAGCATCTGCAGTATTGCATCCAGTAGAGTCTATGTGGGGACCCATCTTAGCCAGTTTCCTAAAGTATCCTCTGTAAGCTTTACAGGAGCTGTCCATGAGTATAAAGGTGCCTACAAACAGCTTATGGAAACTATAGCATATGGAAGCAGGGGAACCAGGAAAGGATATTTAGGTGTAAAAACTTAATTTCATTCCATGGGCTGGTCCCCAAGAAGCTTCCTGTACAAAGGACACATCAGCTGCTACCTTCTGTTGGCCAACAGAAGCCAGGTGAGTTGCAGTACTCAGGGTGCTGGAAGCATTGGGTTTATTGGGGAAAGCTTCACTGGGCCTCACCTGGTGAAAACAAATCTGCTGTGACATCAATGGCATAATGCTATTTGATCCTAAGGAGACCTGGCCCCAAAGGGACCTCAACATAAGCACCACTGCTAATGCTGGTCTCCCCTTCAGATGGTCCCCTGACAGCTGCGGGATTTTACCACCTGTGAATCTGTGCCACAGCTGTGGTTGGCAAGGCTAATGCAGTCTGGGCAGCTGCTGCAGCAGACACAGGTGGCAGGTTGGGTTGTGGCTTTTGGGCAACCATGCTGTTGTTTTCACTTTCTCTTTCTTCATAGCATGCCTAATCCCCCAGCTTGCTCACCACACCAGTGACTGCTTTGACACATAACCAAGAGCAGGAAGGCTGCAATTCTTCCCTTTCACAGGCTTCCCACAGCTGGGGCAAGAGGTTGTTTGGTTTGTTGCACCAGCTGGTATGGAAACAGCAGTGGTTCAATACTTTAAAGTGGGTTGGTTAGAAGAGGAGAAGGAATGCAAAGGGCCATGTGCTGAGATGATAAGCAAATGGACAGGAAGTGACTTTGTAGCCTAAGAGGAAGGATACTTTCCCCTTGCAGCTCTTACATGAGGTTCTGTTCCAAGCAGGTTTGCTTATAAGAAAAGCCAAGATACTATTGACTATAAGCCAAATCCTTCCATCTCAACATGAGTAAGTAACAGGACAGTCATCCAGGAGATGCCTTCACAGTCACTCTGTCACCTGCTCACCCTCCAACACACTTTTGACCACCCACATGTGAAAGAAAAACAACTTGATTCTACCTCACCCATTCAGGTGGGGGAGAAAAAAGGCCAGAAAACGTGGGAGGGAGTGGAAAGAGAGACAGGAACACAGCGAGGAAAGAAAAGATGCTGAAAGCAAAAGAAGTTAGAAGCCAGATCAGGAAAGAGAGAATAAAACATTTGGAGATAAAGAGAATTTAGAGAAAAATTAAACAAAACAATGAAAAATTAATCTGAAGGGAAAATTTCTGCTCCTAAAAAAAAGGATTACCCAAGATACAGAAAGAGGAAAGTAAGAAACAAAGAAAGGAGGGAGCTAGGCAGGCTGGCTCCAGTCCTCAGGAGAAACACCAGTCCAATGCCACAGTGATCTCAGACTATGTCCATTGACAATGGGTCCAAACCAGCTAAGGATTTGTCCCATCAGATGAGTTTAAAACTTCCCTCAGACAACTGGTAACTGGACTGACTTTAACACAACAAAGGCTAAATCCTAACTGGATAAATAATATGTCATGCAGCAAAGGCAGCTGTAGGCACTCAGATGTGCATCAGGTTTAAGAGAAAACCAGCTGGTGGATTCTTGCCACGCAGTATCTGGTCCAACACCACTCGCCAGGGCATTGTATATCTCTTCTCTCTGTAGCAAGCGCCCTGGGTGGGGGCACACGGTAGTCACTGCTGGCCAGCAGCCTCCAGTTATATCACCCAAACATCCCACCCCAGTTCCTAGCACACATCCTGGTGTTAAGTTGACTTCGCCTGCAGTGTATTGTTGGGCACTTTTAATACAACCTAGCTGTCACCACCACACAGTTGCAGCTTGTGCTACTGCATGTTGCTGTTCATATCATTTTTCTCTTGCCCAGCCAGTTTAAGCAAAGGTCCCTGGACCAATGACTCAACTACATCCCTATGTTGGGGCCAGAAGGAGTTAACGGTTACCCCAGTGACAAAAAACAAGAGAGAAGACTCATCTCCAACTGAATGATTCAGATGATCTAAGGCAGATGGCAGCAGATTAACTGTAATGCTCTGTTACTGAAATGCAGCCATTATAAATATCTCAAATTCATGTGGACCAAGTGGCAACCCCCACAACTAAGTGTCCTTACAAGTCTGCTATCAGCAGCCAGCATGAGCACCTGAAGCAGCCCAAGTTCACAACTAGCAGAATTCTTCCTGAACAGCAGCCTCAGTTGTCAGGGTTGCTGAGACAAGTCACTCTGTGCAGAAAAGACTGAAAGCTCCACTGGGATACCCATCTGGGGAGGCTACAGGTTGAATGATCCAAAAGGCTCAGAGCCTGACCCAGCCCCAACTGAAAATCAGTTTTAACTTCAGGAGCAAGCCTTCAGTTGCTTTTGGTTTTTGGGATTAAATAGGCTCTTGAGAGTTGCTGGACTCTCTTTTAGCTCCAAAAGTTTCTAGCTCCTCCAGGCACAAGTCCTGGAGTAGCTTGGGGAAGTGCAGGGGAATAAATCTGGACGCTCTTGCTACAGAAAGCATGCAACGCCTCACTCTTTAGAGAGAGGAAGGTCTTGGCTCTATGAAGAACCTCTAGGCAGCCAGGAGCCACCCTCCCTTTTGCCTCTTCCTGCTCTAGTCAGGAGTGCTCCACATGGAACACACCACCCACAGCTGTACCCACCTAGGCGCAGAAGTATACTGGACACCTCTGCCAGCTTGCCACCAGGGAAAGGTGCACTGTACTCAGGTTTGCTCCAGCCAATGCCAACCCGAATCAGCCTGGAATGTATGTAGTCTCTACAGAGCACCTTGGCCTGGGACACCAGCTCCTTGTCAGTGGGAGATCGGTCAAAGACCTCCATCACCTCCGCAGCAAAGACTGAGGAGCGGCGTAGCACCTCCATTTCTGACAATGGAATCCAAGGTTTCAGGGTGCTCCTGTTGGAAATCTGCTCCAATGCCGCTGATGAGAATCTGCTGCTGTCATTTATAAGAAAAATAACCCATTGGGTTCATGATTTGCCACAGCTCCCAGCGGGGATTCTTGAATGAGCCTTCTTCTGCTTTACCTGGTGAAAAAGAGAATGTGTGAGTTGACTAGCTCACAGGGAAAGAAAAAGAATAGGAGCCAGAACTCCAGGTGATCTGCACCACAATGCCATTGATTTCAGTGACACTACACTGATTTATACCAGCTGAGGATCAAATCCATTGAAACTTATAGACAACTGGCCAAATCCTGCAATCACACTCCCATTGTCTACAAAGGGAGTTCTGCCCAACTGAGGATGAGAAGACTTGAGCTAAAAGGTGTTTTGGTTTTCCCCTTTAAGAATCAGCAGTAATGGTATTATATTTCAGAGAAAGAAACAAAATCTGGAAACAATTTTTAGCCTGTGTAGAATATTTAGACTGGTTACAGCTTGTTTCAATTAAATTAACTAGACAAAGCAAGAGTCCCACATTCTGGCACAGATAAAAATTGCAGCTGAGCAGGGTACGGATCTTTTTGAAGGAAGGACATCAACATACTGCAAATACAATGCTGCATTAGTGTTTCAATGTCCCACCAGCCCTTCCTCTCAGACAACAGCTTCTTGTTTAGCTCAACTCAATTCTCAGTTTGGTTTTTGTTTATGTAGCTTTTTGCTTTAAGAAAGCACTGTACCAGCTGCTTTTCCAAAGCCTTCCACCTGAAACTGTGCTAATGAAATGGAGAAGCAGAGGCTAAAGTTTTCAAGCATGTGTACCTAAAATGAGGCTCCTAAATTCATTTATAGGAGCATGGAGAAAAAAAGCTAGGTTACTTTAACAGGAGTTGCAGGTGATTAACATGCCTGGAAAAAGTCAGACCAAAGCTTTTCAGTAATGCATGTATGAACAGATCTGAGATTCTCATTTCTGGCACCCATATTTAAAAACTGAGCTAAAAGAAAAATCTCAAATGTTTACGTTTTCCCAGTGAAGGAGATATTTACCCGTCGTGCTGCATTTTTCTCCTCGATGATTTTTGGCTGGTTTCACGTGTTTCTCTCGGTTCTTTGGAAGGTTCAGATCAAAAGGACACCTGGCTGTAGGATTTATAGAGCATATTGATTTTCCACTCCCATCCTCTGCTGGAGCTAAAGAGCATCTGCCTGCTCTGCACTGCGCTCCAAGAGGCTCTAATCAGTTACTCTCTCCCCATCCTTCCAAATCCTATTTGTGCTCCAGCAGCGTGATCCCAGCACTTGCTCTGCCGCTTTTAAAAGACTGAGGCAGACAGAGGAAAGCTTCTAGCTTTAGCCTTGTAAGGAAGATGAAATAACAAGGAGGCGGTGTTATTAAAGCCAGCTAGTATGAATCTCCCCACCCCTTCTTTTTCTCTTAAGGAGGCTCTGGGCAGTTGTACTGCTAGGTTAAGAGGGCTTCCCCCAAAAGATATCTTCATATCTCTTCCCAGTCCAAGCAGGATATTGCAGTAGGAAACCCAGATCAACAGCATGCTTTGAATATACCATTAAAATGTTCACAAAGAGAGGTATTAATTCCTGACTGAGATGGAGTTTTGTGGCATCTCTTTCAATCATTCTTACCTAATATCAGGTTACCAAGCCATGGAATTGTGGCAACTGGCTAGGGGGATGTGATGCTACATCACTAAACACATTGTTAAGGTACATCTTGAGCCTAACACACAGAACTAGAGCTTAATTCTTGGGAGGGCCCAAGGGGGGTTGATGGGAGTTTTAATACCCAAAAGCAGGACTGTCCAAAGAAATGTGATGACTGTTTTCTGATAAGCCCCTTCCCCCACAAAAAAACAGTCTTGCCAGAACTGAAGTGTCTTGTGGAAACACAACTATTTCAGCTAAACATTGAAATATTGTTTTAACCTGATACATTTAAAATGAAATTAAAATATTACAATATTTTAAAACATATATCAGTTTCATCATCAACTCAGAGGTGTGACATTGGCAAAAATGTCTTAACTGATCCATAATCAGAATATTTGGGAATTTTTATTCTCTGAGAAATTTAAAAATCTTTGACTTTTCATTCCAGACTAGAACAAAAACATCATTTGACCCCAGCAGTCTTTCCTGCCCAAGCGCAGGGGGGCTAGACCCGATGATCTTATAAGGTCCCTTCCAGCCCCTAACATCTATGAATCTATGAATCTCAGGCACCATATTTAAAAATTGACTGAAAAGAGTACATACAAACGTGCATTTTCACAGTGAAGGAGGTGGCCATTCTCCTTCTGCAGAACAGACTTTCCAACCATCTACTTATGGGGTTTCTCCCTCCTACTAAGCAAAAAGGAGTTTGCAGGGTGACTGGCTAGGCTCAGGGGTTGTTTGAGATGCAGCTTTTCTAGAAGCAGGGCAGAAGGGACTGGATGTTTGTTATCATCTGATGGGTGATTTTGTGGCCTCTGCGAAAGGCAATTTACTGACCTTGTTCCTGCAAAGTGCTGAGCAGTCTGGCCAGAATCCAGCAGAGAAATTAAGTACACGCATAAGGTTAAGCATATGCCTTGCTCCACTGATATCAATGGGGCTATGCTGGAAGTCTTCTGCTGGACCTGGCCCAGAAACTGGATTTTCATTGGAGCAATTGTGCTGGTAGATGAAACTCTGGTGCAGTCAAGGCTTATAGTTCAGTTTCTTTACAGTGGAAGCTTTCCATGAAGCACCCCCCCATGTGAGATGGCAGTGCAGAGGTGAAGTGGACTTCTAAAAGTCTAGGTCAGTGGTTCCAGAGCTGTGATGCGTGAGGCTCTGGTGAGTGTTGTGTAGTTAGTTCATGCAGCTTCTACAGGTCTTTACAAATTTTTTTTAATTAAAAATGTGATAATAATGGTGCCTGCTGTTTTGTGAGAAATGTTGAAGATCAACGATGTTCCATTTGTTTAAAACCACTGGTTTAGATTTAGTTGGTCAGTTATTATCACAGGATCATAGAAAATTAGGGTTGGAAGGGACCTCAGGAGGTCATCTGGTCCAACCCCCTGCTCAAAGGAGGACCATCCCCAACTAGATCATCCCAACCAAGGCTTTATCTACCCTGGGTCTTAAAAACCTCCAAGGATGGAGATTCTAAAACTTCTCTGAGTAAGCTGTTCCAGTGCTTCACTATCCTTCTAGTGAGAAAGATTTTCCTAATATCTAACCTAAACTTTCCTTGCTGCAACTTGAGACCATTGCTTCTTGTTCTGTCATCTGCCACCACTGAGAACACTCCAGCTCCATCCTCTTTGGAACAGCCCTTCAGGTAGTTGAAGGCTTCTGTTAAATCCCCTCCCAGTCTTCTCTTCTACAGACTGAAGAACCCCAATTGCCTCAGCTTCTCCCAGTGGTGATATGTAGGGGGTGCACATCTGAGAGCGCTGGTGTACCCTCTCACAGCCAACGTTCCTGGGGGGGGCGGGAAGGAGGGGGGACAGGTGAGAGCGCTGGTGCTTTCCCTGAGAACTGGCTGGGGAGTAGGGGCTCCAAGAGAAGCGGTCCCCCTCCATGGCCAATTGCGCTCACCCAAAAGTGCCGGTGGCACATCTGGAAGCGCTGCCACTTTTCTGTGCAATTGGCTGTAGGGACCCCCCTTCCGCCATTGTTGACTGGCTTCTGCGGAGGGGAAAGTACCCCCCCCCGACTCAGGAGGCACCAGTTGCCCATGGCCTCTCCTCATAAGTCATGTGCTCCAGCCCCCAACATTTTTTGTTGCCCTCCGCTAGACTCTCTCATAGCAAGAGTGAAGCAGGGGGAGCGGGAGAGGTGGCGGAGGCTCTCCACGCCAGCGGCAGGCAGTGCCAGCTTGAAGACAAACAATCTGAGCAGAGAGTAACAGTGGAGGCTGCAGGGGCTCTCTATACTGGTGACGAATGGCTCTGGTATAGAAGAGCAGATTGCGCTTGGGGTAGGATGCCCCGAGCAACAGTGGAGGAACCCCACACCAGTTATACCACTGGTCAGCGTGCAGAGGATGACATCGCTGTAGGAAGAGCTGTAGCAGACCCAGAGGAAGCAGAGGTTCTTCACTCTAGATACTCGCAGGTATCGGGCCATGGAGGTAGGCTGACCGGGGAGGAGTTGAAGATAAGACAACAGAGAAGTAACGCGGAGTAGCACTCAGGGGATGCCATCAGGCCCTGGCACTGGGGCAGAAGGAAGGAGTCAGTAGTCTGTTCAGATCTTTATTTCTTTTTTTTGTTCTCCCTCTTGTTCCTTTCTTTGAGCTTACTGGTTGTTGGGTTCATAGTCACCAGTAGTGTTTATATAATCAGAGTATTGTTGTTGTGGTTTCTTCTTTCTGTTCCCCTCCTGTTAGTTCTTGAAGGGTCTCTGTGGGCAGGTCCATTTCATAGAGGACCTGATTCCCACCATGTCATCAGGGTGGTCCCAAGGCCCACTGTAACAGGGAACCTTAGCTGTGTTACCAGAAGGCAGGTTGGCCCCTTTAAAACCAGAACTTTCTGGGCACAGCATGCTGGTAAGGGTGGGTGGGGTTAAAAGCTCAGCCTGGCCAGCCAGTCAGCTGACTGGAAGGGGGAAGGCCAGGACTATAAAACCCTGGGCTGGGCTGGGCGGCAGTAGGGGTCAGCAGCGTGTCCCAGAGCTCCCCAGAGAGGCTTGAAGAGCAGTCCAGTGGCTGCAGGAGGGGAACTACGGAGGACTCCCAGAGAAGCAGCAGCAACCCCAGAAGAAGGTCTGTAGCAGACGGTGGGGGAGCAGAAGCATGAACCCCTGAGAAACTACAAGCTGGCACACTGCCTTCTTTAATCATATTTTCTTGGTGGCAGTAATAGCCCATGGACAGGACTGTTCATATTTTCTTTTTTTTGTTATTGAATAGCACTGGTAGTTTGGATAAGGCTATAGGGGAAGGAGGAGGCCTCATTGGAGCCCCACTATAGCATGGGAACTCCAGCACCTGCATAGGCACAGTGTTCAGGGGCACAGGCCTGGCACCAGAGAGGGCAAGCCTAAAGGCCAGGGTGGCCTGGTGCACCCAGGGTGCGACTGTGTGAGGGGGTTTTTTGTTTCTTTCTTGGACTAGGATGTTGGAGGTCTGGGGCCATTGCTTGGTTTCAGACTTGCAACTCTCTGGCTGTGGGGGCAGTGGACAGGCCTCTGGGCCAGGGAAGCTGTGCTTCAGATTAGAGCAAAAAGGAGGGCCATGAGCCCAAAACTAAAGAGCTAGAGCCTCAGAGTCAAACCCTGTCTGGTGGGTTTAGATGGGGAGGCCTAACTAGAGAAAGACTGGGGTCAAGGCCTGTCTTGGCAGAGGACCCCAACATACAAAAACAATAACCAGTCTCCCGCTTATAATATTTCCATCAAGACATGGCAGGAGAGTAGAGAGCAGGACACAAGAAACCTTAAAGGGGACTCCAAGGGCGCCCCACATACGGTGTGGATAACAGGGAAGACTGTGCTGGGGAGGGTGACCTGTTACACCTGCCGATCAAATATAAACAACAAGAGGGAGAGACCTAGTGAACACAGTCAGCAGGTCTGTGGCCCATCATGGAAACAAACTTGGGAAACAAGCCTGAAGAGAACATTGGGATCAAGAACCATCCACACCAGAGGGACAGCCGCTCAAAGATCTGGTGACCACCAGAGGTTGGCATAAGGAAGGGGTGTAGGGAAGGTAGAGCCCCACGAACGTCCATTGAGAAGAGTAACCAACCCTGAGGGACCTACAGAGGAAGACCCCTCCACTGAAAATACATTCAAAGTCATGGCAGGAGAGTCTAGGTGCTTCCTCTGGGGTGATCGAGGTCCATCACAGTGGTCACACGAATCCTCACTGCGCCCACCACAAGACGTACGTGCTAGTGCAGCATGTGAATGGGTGTTTGAAGCCAGGCCATCACAGTCTACAACCTTTCTTTAGTGGGGGGCCCAAAACTGAACACAGTACTTCAAATGTGGCCTCACTAGTGCTGAATAGAGGGAAATAATTACTTCCCTCGATCTGCTGGCAACGTTCCTACCAATGCAGGCCCAGTATTTTAAAGAATATCGAGGTGAAGACTTCACATATTTTCTGGCTATGGAATTAACTCACCTCCTCACTGCAGAATGCAGTCTATAATATAAACTCTCTTGTTCAGAGTTATGCTTCTAGCCTTTGCGGTGGTAATTATGAAGTCAATATAAATTATATGGTGTTGGCTTCTTGAAACTGCAGACGACCTAAAACAGCAGCCTTGGTTTAACCTAGCTCGATTCAACTAACAACTTTGAAACAGAAATTAACATTGACATGTTAATATTAATTGGTGATCAGTTTCACTGGAAATCTGGCTGAACCACTTCTCGGTTCCTTCATGACACTTTCCAATTCTCCTCAGGTGCCAAAGCTCTCCTCCCCTTCCCCTCATGTGTTCCAGGCCCACCTGTCAAAGCTTCCAGCACCCCCTCACAGTTTCTACAATGCAGCTGTGAGTCAAACACAGTGATCTGTGGCTCACTGAAAACTGAGGGCCCTATTAACTAATAAAAATTCCATACCAAGCCAGAGACCACAGTCGATTCTATTATTTATTTATGCACTAAAAGCCACCATATTAAAAATGTACATCAAGCTGAACAATCAGCCTACCGCACACAAATGTAGCATACCAAAGACCTTCCAACATACACTCCAATTCTGCGTATGTGAGTGTGTACCTAGTCTATACTGTAAAAGGCTTTCTGGTATATTAAGTAAGCTCTTAGAGTAGACACACCTTATACAAGCAAGGAGTGGTGTTGCAAATATAGCTCTCAAGGCAGTCAGAAGAAGCTATTCTGTGCATGGAAGTACTTTGCCTGGATTACCTACATCTATGCTTTCACCAGTATAAAAGTATCACCACCACCCCCTCTCCCCCTTACTAACATATCCTATCCCAG